GGCCTGCACTCACCTGTTTCCTTTTTTAAACTCTGCCTCTAGGTATCGGATCCCATCCCGGGCCCCTGGGTGTTCCTTCTTCAGCAAATCCAGGCCATCAATCACTAGTGGGCAAGGCGGGGGGCGGAGACAAAACAGATGAACTCAGAGTGTGTGACACGGGGCTCTGCAGGCAGTGGCTGAGCTCCTCCAGCACACACTGCGGGAAAAGAAGGGATGGACCGTGGCTCCGACGGCTCCTGAAGTCCTTCAAAAGTATGACCTTCTGCCAGTCATGGACTTGGCCATTTACCAATTGCTTTCACTTAGATATTCTCCTCTGTTTCTCCCAACCATCTTGTGAGTCAGGATTTAAGAGATCATGCCCATTTCACAGATGAAATGACTGAGGTTCAGAGTTGAAAGCACTTGACCAAGGCCACTGTGTATAAACTGGGCTCCAAATAAAGGTCTCTCAATCCCAAGCCCAGAGTTTATTTTAGCCACCTTCTATCTGTCCTCCCACCTCCCCAGTATGCTCACCTGTCCTTGGGATGATGACAATGAAGCGGCCACTGGTGGCCAGCTGGCGGATGATGGGGAGGTGGTGGCAGAGGGCCTGGGTGTCAGGGACGAGGTAGGGTGACATTGCTGACTGGGCCTTGGGCTGCTGTAGGCTCCCTTCCAGCTGAGAGACCTCGAGCTGGTGAGAGAAGGCATAGTGGGTGGAGCTGTGTGGGCTCCGCAGCCTGGCAGGGGGAAAATGGTTCTCAAAGGGGCTCTTATAGGGCTCCTCCTGCTGCCCCAGGGACAGGGGACTCCTTCTACCAATGACCTTGGAGGAAAAGTAGACAGAAACAGGGTTAAAGTAAAGAGAAAGAGAAGAAAAAGAGGCAGAAGTGAAAGCAGCCAGACGGCAAGGCGCTGTGGAGAATGGGCTTCGGGAGGCGATCTGGGAGGCCAGGAAGGGAGTAATCTGGGCAAAGTGGGGGGCCCCAGGGGAGCAGGGGGGCTGCAGCTGGAGGGGTGAGGACCTGCCAATGGGCTGTAGGCAATAACCAGATCAGGAGGAGGAGGAGCACCTGAAGTCGCAGCTGGGCCATGTCTCTCATAAGCCTGTTCCGCCGAGCTTCTTCCTGCGCCTACAAGGGAAACACCGAGTGCTAAGGACCGAGTGCTAAGCCTGGGACGAGGCGCTGAGGCGGCACTCCTTCCCCCAGCGGTCAGACCAAGCAGAGTGCGGGGGTCTGAACAGGCATGGCTCTCCACCGACCCCGCTAAGTGCGAAGAGAAGCACGGGAGAAAAACATCGCTCACTCTGTTCCAACGCCAGGAGGGAGGCCGCAGACAGCGGGCACTCACGGCACAGGACAGCACCTGGCTGTGCCTCAGCGTCTGAGCTCTGCCCTCTGCCTCCTCCCTCCC